CTCCGCCCTCCTCAGCCTCCCAGAGTGCTAGGATTACAGGCGTGAGGCACCGCGCCCGGCCTTGGAGTACTTTTTCATTCCTTCCCTTTCCTGCTTCTGCTTACACATTACTCAATCACTTTTTCTGTTTTTTTTGTTCTTTTTTTAAGTTCGTCCAAACCACTTAAACCTCACGTTTACCACTGACCTCAGTGTAGGTGCTCATCACCTTTTTGCTAGACTCTTGCACTAGGTTTCTAATTTCAGTCCTCTCTTCCAGTACATTCTTTGTGAGATCAGTTAAGTAGTGCTATTCAGACAATTCCCTTTCTCCTATAAACCCTCTGTCACGCCCCACGGTCTACAGGCAAAAATCCAAATTCCTTTGCCTGGCAGCCTCCTGCCCTCCCCAGTCTGGCCCCAGGGCCCCTCTGTGACCTGCTCTTTCACTGTCTTTCACCATAAATTTCCTCAAGTCCCCTGTGCCCCGGCACAAAAACCACCTGGCTATCCCCAAACATGCCATTTACTTTCACATTCCATGACTTTGCCAGAATGGTATCCTCAGCCTGGAAAGCCCTTCTCTGCACCCCACCTGGATGAAATCTCCTCATTTCACAAGGCTCGGGCAAATTTTATCCATTTTAAACAGGTTCCTGTCTATAACCTGCCCCTACCCCTGACACATACACTCTTCTCTCTGTGCTTTTGTATGACTTTGCACTATTAGTTTGCACACGTATTTATTCATTTAATAAATATTTATTGAGGTTTGGGCATTATGCAAAAGGATGGGAATGGAAAACATGAATAAAAACTTAGTCCTTGACCTCAAGAAGTTCATTTTCTAGTGGAGAAAACATAGTAGTAAGCAGATGGATTTAAAGCAGTGTGGACGTTCAGTGATAGAAGAATTACATAAGATTACCATAATCAGAATATGGATATTCTTGAAAAGCTGAGATTTTGCATGATTTCAAAATAAGGTAGACGTTTCAAAAGAATTATCAGCAGCCAGCACTACACATGAGATTTCAGTAAAAGTAATAAAAGAATAATGGTTTTGTTCAGTATACATACAAAGGTGTTTAACAAAGTTCATTGATAAGATATGGAGCCATGGGATTTCAGAGGTGAAAGGGGCTTTCTCCTCTGTTTTCTTCTTGATGCATTAATGTTTAAGTAAAAACATTAGGTCCAGGGAGCATGAGAGAATTGCCCAGAGCTGCTCAGTCAGTGGTAGAGCCAAAACTAGAATTTACATCTCCTAACTCAAAGACTAATGTTCTGTATCCAAAACCATAAATAAATGAATTTTATGCATTTGCGTCCCAGAATGGAAACTAATTTTTTAAACTGAAGAATATGTAATTGCAAATGAAAAGAATGTAAATAATGCCATTCAAACAGAGGGTAGAACTTTGTACAGAGAAACTTATAACATTTTACAGGATTTTTTTTTTCTTGTATATAGCACAAACAGCATTCAGAAATAGCACATCTGGGCAAACAAAGAAAATAAGACACACCTGATCCTGCTGGTGATAAATCTACTTCATAGAGATATTCTGGGCACTCCTCTACTGCCCTTTCTCTCCTTAGCCATGAGAGCACTATTTATGGGCCTAATTTAGTAACTTCCTGAATTATAACCTGAAGACTTAAAGGAGGTGCCTCCCACAGTGTGTGATTCACTCCCAGGGAGGCCTAGGGTACCTGAGTGAATCCTTGGTTGGCTATTCTGAAGCTTGTAATGCTTCTAAGGAGAAAGATGCTCCCAAATAAACAAAAAATGCTGCTGTTGTGACAATCATTTTATAAGAGGCAGAGCTACTTGATGATTAATATTTGTGTGACTTTTTGGGAAGAATTATGAATTTTATGATCTTCCAATGACTAAAAAAGATGTCCCTGGAGAAACTAAAAAATCACAGTAAACAAACTATGTATGTATATAAGGGAATTTATTGCACATATTGAGGGCAGGACCAACGTTACTTTACATTTCTGTTTTGAGAACATTGGGAGAACACTTAACAAATCCTCACCAAGAAAATACTACTCTGCCGCAGAAGAGCTAAGCATTTGGTAAATGGCTTGTGAATGTTTACTGATGCACAGAACCTCCGTTGGATGGCTCCTGAGGTGTTCACGCAGTGCACTCGGTACACCATCAAAGCCGACGTCTTCAGCTATGCTCTGTGTTTGTGGGAACTTCTCACCGGCGAAATTCCATTCGCTCATCTCAAGCCCGGTAAGACATGCTGCAATTAAATTAAAGTTTTCCTGTTTCCTAAAGTTCATTGCATTTTAACAACCTCAAGAAATATTTTTTTCCAAAAATGATCATTCTGAGTGGGATGACAAGGGAGGAGTGAAGTAAACAATCTTAAATTGTTCTAAGGTGTGTGCACCATCCAGAAAACGTAATGACTTAATTCTGTGATTTCAGACACAGGCACATAGAAGTGTAGGTGTATCTTGTTAAAGTTTAGGTCTTTGATTTATCCATTGTTAATAAAACAAGCAAATGACTATGGCTGTGTGATATGTGGGGGCAAATAAAGTGGACAATGCAATATTTATTGAGATTAGATTTTAGAATTATGCTTTTAATATGTAAATAGGGGTAGGAAAGTAGCAACGCAAAATAACCTATTAGGGCTGCTCTCTGCTTATCTCACATTATTCAAAAGAAAATTGATTTTCTTCATAATTTTGTATTTATATTATGGATTTATTCCAAAACTGGAGCATGGTGAGTAAGCCTAATTTGTACTGAAGATATACATTATACTCTGCTTACATGTAGAAAGTGAAGGTGAGGAATGTAATCACAGGCAAAAGGTACACATATTTTTGGTTTAAAGTAAACTTTATCTGCATATGTTCCCATTTCATTTGGGTTGCTCTCATATCTTGCCATAGTAGACAGGAATCTCTGTAAGGACTTTGCATACCTAGGACTTAGTATGCATGAAAAGTAGTTGTCAAATGAAATCACAAATAAATTTTAAATGAATTATATTCATTTAATATAACTAAATTATATTAAATATAATTTATTTAATTTAGTTCCTAATGGTCAACTGTAAGAATATATCAAAAGGATAAAGTCAAAAGGGATGTTAGTTAAACAACCTTTTTAACAAGTTGGAAATCTTAACCAGTATTGCAATATGTATTGGTACTCATGTACAGACCAAAAGGCACATCTCGTATTCTCTTTTTAGGGCATTTTCCCCAATAATACTCTGTGGTCTTTTAATTACACTCTGCAGAGTGTTAACAGAGTGCATTTTACAAATTATGTGCTCTGTACATAGTTTATTGAGCAAAGTGATGATGTAAGCTTCCTAAGTTTTCTCTACATATTTTCTACAATTTTAAATGATGAGATTTAGCCCTTATTACAGTTTGGATGTGTAGATTCTATTTTTAACTGAACCAACACTGCCATAAGTCTTGTTCTGATGTGCTGCTGTCTCTCTAACTCTTAGAGTTTACATTTCGATAAGACTGATATAAAAAATCAATTATAATTCTAGATATACTGTGGTATTTTTTCATGAGGGAGAAATATATCTCATTTCCACTCACCCCCTATATCAATCCATTAACATGGTCCCATTGATTTTACCTCCTAATACATCTTGAATTTGTTTACCACTTACCATCGTCCATCACCATCATCTCTTCCACTTGAACTACTGCAATAGTATAGTCTTTTTAAAAAATCAGGTTTACAGGAAAGGACACAACAAAAAAAGAAAACTACAGACCAACAAAATACTAACAAACTGAATTCAACAGCACATCAAAAAGATAATTCACCATTATCAAATGGGTTTCATTCCAGGGATACAAGGATGGTTCAACATATACAAATCAATTATTGTAGTTCACCACATAAAAAGAATTAAAAACAAAAACCTTATCATCATCTTAATAGATGCAGAAAAAGCACTCAATAAAATCCAGCACACATTTATGATAAAAATATTCAATAAACTAGGTATAGAAGGAACATATCTCAAAATAATAAATGCCATATATGACAAACTCTCAGCCAGCATCATTCCGAATGGGGAAAAGTTGAAAGAATCCCCCCTAAGAACTGGAACAAGAGAAGGATGCCCATGGTCACCACTTCTATTCAACACAGTACTGGAAATCCTAGCCAGAGCAATCAGGCAAAAGAAAGAAATAAATTGGAAAACAAGACGTCAAACTATCCCTGTTTGCTGATGATATGATCTGATATCTAGGAAACCTCAAAGATTCCTCCAAAAGACTCCTACAATTGATAAAAAATTTCAGTAAAGTCTCAGGTTACAAAATTAATATACACAAGTCAGTAGCATTTCTATACACTAATAGCAGTTAAGCAGAGAGTCAAATCAAGAACTCAATGCCATTTACAATA